GAGAAGTTGGGTTGAAGTGATTATTACAATTTATGTCAGCTAGGTGGTTAATGACAATTATCGACTTCTTCATCTGTCTCTCATCATTATTAGAGGCATGATTGGTGAAAGTCTTTTCTAGATGCTGCGCAAGGGCTTCAGCCATGTCATGTTCAGAATAAGCAATTCCACTACTGGTGTGGAGAGGACCAATATTTCTGTTATTAGTATTCCTTAAGGAATTTCCAATACGCCAGACTGTATTCGGAGAGAAATCCATGGAGTCTAAGAAATCGTCCCAACAATTTGATCTGTACTCTAGGAGGAGGGTCTTGATGTTCCTTTCATCATTTCGTTTCTGCTAAAAGAATGTATTTGCTTTCTGCTAGTTACTTTTAACTGAAATATTAGAAATACAAACCAAAGACTGAATGCATAAATAAGAGATAATGCTTCTTAAATTCCAGGACGAAAATTATACAATTCAATAATGTAAAAGATTAATGTTAATTCTGTATGAAGAAAAATGGTTAAACTATACAATAAGATAACTGAATCTAGTTATGTGACGGCTAGTAACTTACATTATTGAAATCAAATGTAGTTCTTATGAAACCTGCGAAACAAACAGCAAACATATATTTTTAATAAAAATTTAGTAATATATATGTTTAATACCAATTGTTTTTTATTTGAAGTGAAGTAATTGACAATGTTAAAAGACCATTGCTTAATATTATGGTTTACACTGATTGAAATAATTGTTTAAGTTATGTTAGTTTTTATAATATTAAATCAGTTTTATATCCTTTCCTAATCTGAAAGCGTATGCGTGTGCTTCAGGTAACGAATGTAATCTGTTCCACGACGTTATGCGAATCGTTCGCAATGCAAGAAATAGAATATTTCATTAATTGTATAGTGATTATTCCCTACTGCACGTTATGAGTTTGAATCACAGTGTTAAGAGTAACAGTGCTACTTGATTTTGCCATGACCTTTTTAGAGCTCTGCTTTTGTCTTATGCATGTCACATTCTATCTTGACTATTAAAACTGAACTGCTGTATATTGATGAGTGAATGGAATGCAACAAATAAGGAATTTTGCAACATAATATAAGCCCTTTTTTATCAGCTGAAATAAGTATTCGTCTTCCCGCTACTACGAAATTAACGGGAGGTGGAACTTTTGTTCATTTTTCTGGTCGAAAAGACCAAAAAAGGTGTCCTCAAAAAGGATTTTAACTGATCGCTAACCTGTAATTATTTTTTTAATATGATTTTATTTAGCTCACTCATAGAATTTGCCGCTGCGTGGTCAACAGTTTGTCGTGGATTTTTAAACTACTTCCTGATGAGCTATCGATTGTAGGTTTTGTGCATGCACTATTTGTGGATGATAATGCAGTGTCATGAGGCGTATTTTTCAAAATTCGATTTAATGTATTTTAAATTTAATATTTAAATGATTTTTCACAAATATATTCATTTAACGAAAAAACTAAAAATCTCACAATCCGATGGTACAAATAATGAATTTACAGTTTGCACCATCATTAAGAGCGGCAAAAAATCTTTTAAATGAAACTTGTGTCAAAGTTTTAATGCCATTTAGGACTTTTTGCAGAATTCACAAAAATCGCTCGATTCTTCAGCTATTTGATGGTTATTATTTTAAAATTTCAACATCTAAAAATAAATCGGTTACAAAATTTTGAACTTTTGCAGATTATAAAAAATATTTTTCGCTCTCTTTAAAAGTAAGAATGACGAAAATATGAGTTTCGCGATATTCTAAAATACATTTTTGTAAAAAAAAAACTATGTTGCAGTCTGAACTCTGAAGGGAAAAAGATCGGTCCTTGCCATGGTATCAAACATATTTCAAGGTTATGATGTCATTATGTTATAACTATTCTTCTTGCTTTCATAGAGATTTCTCTAAAATTGATTTTATTTATCTGTTTATTCTAGTCACTGTAAATAGGATATATTCCCTGATTCCCAATCACCTATTTTCGAAATAAATCGGTTCGAAATGGCATGCAAGTTTTTGCTCATCATTTCGCCTCTTAAAATACTAAAGCTATAGCAATGTCTGAGAACCTTTTTCGGCAAATTTTTGGATTTTTTTAACTATTTAACACAGTAGAATTATTGCAGATAAAAGAATGATTATTCATCATTGAAAAATGATTTTTCAGTTGAATAATTTGATTCATAAATTGACTTAAACTTTTAAATTAATTAATGAACTAAAAGACCAAAAATAATTTATCGTATGATTTAATGAAAAGACGATTTTAAATAATTCTTTGTTCAAAAATTATCTACACTTTTATATCACGGTTAATAAAAACCTGCAATGTTCTTTGACAAATGAATATCATTAAATCTTTTAGTTTTGACAATTCAATTCGATTACTAAGTTTTGTTGTTTAGGCGCCTATGCTTTTATAATTCGTGATATAAAAATGTAGAAGAAATTTCTAAAGATGATCATTTAATCTCTTGCTCCCATTAAATTATTTTTTAAGCTCATTATTTTGTGAATTTAAAATAAAAGCTTACTTTATCAAAACTTCTGTTTTTATTAATTTTTTATAATACTATAGATTCATGATGAAATCTGATTCTGTACATATCGATGGTCCACTACATTGAAAAGTATTAGGAGTTTAATCCACTACATTGAAACGTATTAGGTGACAATTGTTTTGAAATATTTTGCACAGTATTTAAGATTTAAAACACGCTAATATTTTTCCAAACTAAAACATTTATTCGCATGAAAATTATCAAGCTATTTTAGTTTACTATTGTACATATTTTGTTAATAAATCGTACTTAAAATGACGCGCACGCATTTCTTAGTTTGCATTACTTCCCTTCCTTTTATATTTCATGTTTTTAACATTTTGGGGCTTGAGAAGAAAAGTGTTCTTTTATCTTTTCAAGATAAATGCAGATCCAATTGAAAGATAAATACGATAATGCAAAGTTAAAATTAGCGATAGAAGAGCAAATAGTGTTAATTTGGATAGCTTTTGAATAAAATTTTATTATGGGAGGAATGCAGCTATTTTGTATCGAACCCAAGTGGTTGAATAAAGCGAAAACGAACGTAGCGCTATCTGTCGAGGAAACTAATAATAGATGAAAAACTAGGATATTAGAATTCTGAAAATGTTAAGAAGAACTGGATTGCAATTGATGCCATTAACTAACGAAAATAAATTTTTGTGAATGGGAAAAGCTTCGAAGGAATCAAATTCTGCAACTGAAGAAGCTTTACAGATAATTTCAAAACTGCGGTAAAGTGTCCAACTATGATCAACCAACTATTAACTATGCATACATTTTCCCCTTTCGAACATAAGATTTGTGTTCCTTGAAGCGAAATTTTAACTTTCTTTTTGTTTGGTCGATACATCTCAAATGTCACTGACAACATATAGGGTAAAGAAATCTTCAAGAGTTCGGAAGTCGAAGCTAAAATCTTTAAGAAGCGAATAATAAATTTACTTAAATGTTAGAAAATGAAAAGTCTGCACTATTTCCTGACTCATAGAATTATGAAAAGGAAGGATGTCAATATTATTAATATTAATTGTAACAGAAGAATCTCTTCTTGGATTGCAAGACATAAATATTAAAAAAAAAATTCACCATGAGAGAACACCCTCTGTTAATGGCAACCAATTTCAAATACCTGAGTTTATAAGAAAGCAGATTGTGAAGAACAAACTTTAATAGCCTGAATCAATAGCCACTTCTAAGAGTAAAAGAAGCCATTTTTTATTTAGTAGGTTGACATGATTTAGCATGGGAAGGCAAAAATGAGAAAAAACTTGCGATAAACTCTAGCGTTGAAATCAATTTCACTACGCATAATTAAAGTGTCAAGAAAGGGAAGGAAATTATTGTTGTGTAATTATTAATTCCTTAAGTAAAGTAAAGGAAGTATTATAATCATGAAAAATTCCGAGTACCATATTTCAACGAAAATATCCATTTTGACGGCTATTAAATACAATTTAACGATGTTTTCTCGTGACATCTGTACGTAAGGACAGAATAAAGAATTTTTTCCCAAAACGAATTATAAAACTGATTAAAAATGGATTCAGAAGAGATTTTTTTCGGGGCGTCTAAACGTATGTACGTGTGTACGTATGTATGTATGTATCTCGAATAATTAAAAAACGAGTAGTCTCAGAACGTTGAAATTTTGTGTATAGGACTTCTATAACATGTAATTGTGCACCTCCCTTTTTGGTTGCAATCGGCCTCACTATATATATGTATGTATGTATATATAACTGAGTGAAGATTTTTATCTTTTCTAATTTTCTTTACGTTTGGCCAGTATTTAGTAAAGTTTTGATTAAACCATTTGAAATCCAATTTTAAAACATTTAGAATATTGCAATAAATTTCTTTCTTTAAATATAACATTTATTTTTTATTCAAAATCTAAATTAAAATTAAATTTTATTTCAAAATAATTTTATTCGTACTTTTTTTCAAAAACATTTTTAATTTTTAAATCCTTAATATTTTACATTCCTTAATAGTTTGCAGCATTTTTTCACATAACGTTACAGTTTGCATTTTACATTTTTTTACCCATTTTTACAACAGAACACACATTTTATATTACTTAAAAGTTTACAGAATAGTTATTTTTTTAAAATTGATCACAGATATGCTTTACACTCAACCTTACATTAGCCCGGGAATCCTTTAACCGTGGCTGAAGGTACCTAAGAAGCTTCTCCTAGTTTTTGCCTGAAAATGTTTACCTGAAGAAGAAGGACCTGTGTCTTCGGAACTACTAGAGTTTTATTCAAAATGTATGCCAAACTGTTAATTAAGTTTAGAAATACAGATGTATATACAATTTCAGTTGAATGCTCTGCATATACTCATAGGTTTAGACATAGGTATCTGTCAATATATTTAATTTTCTGATTTATGATACTATAAATAGATTTTTTTAAAGTTAATACCACTTTACCTCTTTTACCTCATCCATAAGCTGTTTAACAGTGTATCTCTTATTAAGATTACTCATATTCCGTCTTTCTTCGGGTGCTAAAGAAAACTGCAGGGAAAACACGATAAATTAAAAAACTCATAACACATTAGTTACAAAAGTACAAAATTTCAATTGTTGATTGAAAGAAAGTCCTAGGATTAAATACGCATTCAGATATATTTATGATTCCTAACATTTTTTTTTTCAATCAGAATATATATTATTTAATAAAAGGAGGACATATTTCAATGAGCATCCCTGAGTACTAGAATTAGTCTCCTTTCTCTGTATTAGCTTTCTGTTAAGAAATCAGTTTCCGACCGAAAAGATACACAACAAGAAGCTAGATAACATGAAAGGTCTGCAATAAAATGCGGCCAGCAGCAATTACTACCACTAAGAATATCTGCTAGATTTCGCTTCGATTAAACTGATGTGGGGAAATAACCGAATCCACCAGTCACAATCTTTGCAAAGTTTCGTGGACTCTGAGGTGAGTTACATACATTTTACATTATACTTTAATAACTGAAACAAAGATATATTAATAAATATAAGGTGGGCGATTACAGCCATAATGCTTTTAGTTTAGTTATTTGTTCAAAAAATAAATTTGTAAATATAGTAGAAATCTCTTTCAAAAAAAAAAAAAAAAAAAAAAAAAAAGGCGAAGGGAAAGAATTTTTTCGTTTATTCATCGTTTAAAAATAAATACAGCAGATCGCATTTAAAAAAGTTTTGCAAAGAACCTAGATAAAAATAATTTTCAAATGACGACCTGTTTCTTCAAAATTACAAGAAATCAAAAAATATATCATCACACTTATGATTTTTCTTATTATTTTAAAATTGAATACATTTATTTTTATTTATGAATCAAATTTAAATATTTTATATTAAGCACGTTAAAATAGTACATTAATACATTACGTATCAGTACGTTCAGTTAAATTAGTACTTTGAAACTTTGCTTTATATAACTCAGTGCATAAGCATAGGACTTTGAGGAAATGTTTTCCTACTGAAAGATCCCAGCAGTGGCCGAATGGTTAGTACTGCTGAATACTGGTAGTTTAACTCAATTTCAAATCTCGACAAACATGAGGCTTTATAGTTGGTTTCCACTTCCCTGTCCCTGCTTTCTCTTGTGCAATACGAATACGAGCCAGTTTTTCCGAAAACGTCCTCTACAAAGGTATTCTTGCCGCTAGGCAGAAAGCTTAACTTAATTTACTGCTAAAACGGTGGTTTTCTTATATACAAATTCAAAGCTATTTATAAATAATGCTATCGTAAAAACAATATTATAGGCTAAATAATTTTTAAGTATTATTTTCATTGTATTTCATCTTAGCATATGTTTCAATTCAGAGTTTTCTAGTAATTCTCAGACTCTCTCTTTGCTGTAGGCTAATCAAAGCGAATGTCATAGTTCTCCGTTTCATGCTTGACTTGGTTATCCTTCGCCTGATAGAAAATATAATCTTCAGTTCCGCCCATAGAAAGTTTTACTGTATACGTGCCCACTGATTCTTGATTTTACGTCAAATAATTTTTACAAAAAACTTACGTTAGAGCCGTTTTAGGGTTATGAAATAAATCTGAAGACTATTTTTACTTACATACAGTAGGTTACCGGAATATGAAGATTTTGAAATTAAAATCTGTATTATGAAATGCAATACCAATGCTTCTTCATTTTATGAAGTAATACGAAATATTTAATATTTAAATTTGGTACCGCGCGTGAAGAAATGTAAATTCTACTTTGTGAAGAGAGTTTAAAAACCGAGGTTCAGAAGGAAAGTTAGAGAGAGTTAGTCTTTTGCCATCACCTCCGTTGCGTGAGCTTGTACTTCCGGAGTTATTGCAGGTTTACGTGGCTTAACCAAAGAATATGTATTGTTAAGAAGGAAAACTCCGCAGCAGCAGGAGTGCCTCCCTCTGAACGAAAAGAAAAACAGTTGCGAATACGTAAAGTATCAGTCGCCCAAAAGCGCCAAAGCGTCGAAGATGATGTCGAGGATCGGCGGTCACGTTTATCAAGAGTTTAAAGCTGGCTGTGTGACTCCATTTTCCATATTGACGGAATATATATGCCTGATATAAAATCAGACATCAAACTGCAATATGGATCAGAGCTAAAGAAAAAGAAGGGCTGGGTCATTCCTTTGAGAAGAACGATGCCGACACGAACCCCTCTTGGGGAGCATACCGGGTGTTATGCGACGTCACTGGGTTCGTCCCGTAGTCGACTGACCAGAGCATCAGTGCGAAAGATTGAATCTTTAATTCTTGGATTCTCTTTCTTTAGCCCTGTTAGTTTCAGACAAAGAGAGAGAAAGAGTTTTTTTTTTTTTTCCCACTTGATTGAAAGTTATAACTGATGATACTGTTAAAGGGATTTTGTATTTAGAAAGTTCTTGTAATGAGAAATCATTGAAAAAATGGTATCGTGTGCCGTTGCTACCTGTAGCAATACGCATCATAATACGAAAGAAACTAGCGTGGTATTTCATAGATTTCCGTACAAAAATATTCAGTTAACGAAAGAATGGTTGCATAGGTGTCGAAGAGCGGATATTGTTAACACAAAGAGTGCTCGAATATGCAGCAATCACTTCACTGAATCTGATTATGAGGATGATATGAAAAATAGGTTGCTAGGATTACCGACAAAAAAGATACTTACGACAAAAAAGTCAACTGCTATTCCAACTGCTTGTATTCCTGACTTGGTTATTTATCAGAATACACCAAGGCAGCAAAGGCACCAAAAAAGAAAAAAATTACAAAGTGCATTTGAAAGAATTCAGAATTTAAGTCCTAAAAAGGCATGTCTGGAACTTCAAAACGATAACAATAATAGCTATGAGGAGCTCACTGAAAATAATATTACTCAGCAATGTTGTAACTGTTCCAACCTCCAGAAAAATGTGAATGATTTAATCACAAAATTATCAGCTCTTGAGAATAAGGTTTCTGTTTTACAGACTGAGAGAAAGCAGCATTTAAAAACTATCTCTCAGCAAAAAAAGATTTAAAAGGAATAGAAAACTAATATTAGAAGAAGTTCAGAAACTGAGGAAAGACATTAAAAAAGTGAATCAAGAAAATGAAAAACTAAGAAAAATGAAAACGTATATTCAAAACATATTTACCGAAACTCAAATAAATGCATTAATGAAAAAAAAGCGAATTAAATGGTCTCCAGACGACATTTCAAAAAGCATAGTAATCAGATCGTTATCCGTAAAGTCATACGGAAAGAAAAAAAATGGGTATTCCGCTTCCAAGTGCAAGTACACTGAAAAGATGGTGCTCAAGATTCAGTTGCATTCCTGGCATTTTAAATGATGTACTGTTATTGATAAAAAAAAACTTGCCAAAATGCAACTGACGAAGAAAGATTATGCGTATTAAGTTTCGATGAAATTCATATAGATTCAAGACTCTGTTATGATTCAAAATTAGATCAGATATTAGGTCCTTTTAAAAAGACTCAATTTGTATTGGTTCGAGGACTCATTTCGCAATGGAAACAGCCCATTTATTTTGATTTTGATCGTCAAATGAAGGAAAATCTTCTGTCTTCCATTTTGTTTGCACTTGAATCGTCTGGGCTTCGAGTCAAAGCAATTGTATCTGACATGGGAGGTAGTCAGACCCTTTGGAAAGAATTACAAATTTCAACAGATAAATCTTTCTTTTACAGTCCCAATTATGCATTTGACTGGTAATGCTGCAAAAAGTAATTTTTCTTCAATGATTGATGATTTTTTTGACATTATGAATAGTAGTGTACCATTATCCCCTAGCAATAAGCCTTTAAAAGCTGCTTTCGGCCTAGAAAGCTATTATGAAGTACAAAAAGAAAAATTAAATGAGATTAAGCAAATGATTTTTTATCTCAGAGTATGCGGAAAGAAGACAATGCTACCTTTCCAGAAAGGTATTATCATATCGATAAATTCGCTTTTCGGTTTATTTGACGACGTAAAATCTATAAATGTGAAATATATTTTAACATCAAGACTGACTCAAGATGTATTAGAAAGCTTGTTCAGCCAGATTCGGGGTCTAGGGCGTTTTAATGACCATCCATCTCCATCAGACGTAATAATTCGCCTGAAAAAATTGCTATTGGCAAACAAATTGCCGTTAAAGATAAATGCTAATGACTGTGAAGATGTGAAGAAAGTTGAAGCATGTTTGACAAAAGAGCTGTTAGAAACAGCTTTTTCTTCAAATGAAAAGCACAAATGTTTGAGTCTTCCTTATACGAAGATGATTTAGTTAATTACGAAGACATCTATGATGAATGTACGTCACTTCCTTGGGAAACCGAAATTTATGATTCAACGAAAGATATATCTGCATATGAACAAGAATCGTTCGCTTATGTGGCAGGTTATATTGCATATCGTGTGAAAGATAAAGATCCTACTTTGGGTGGAAATATCAAAAAAATTCGTAGATATTCCTAACGACTCAAATTGGATATTTTTATTATCTAAAGGAGGATTAACTGTACCATCACCAGTTTGGATGGAAACGATGATGAAAATGGAAAATGTTTTCCGTTCTTTTCATGGCATAGTTCTTTTCGAAAAGGTAGAGGTGTAATTCAGAATCTCATTTCTGAACTTGAGAAACGTTTTTCCCTCCGTTAATAAAGAGTGCAATTCGTTTATTTTTGCCGTTTACGAACATTTATAAGGGTTTGGCACTTGAATAGGAATGCAACCCTTGTATCGGCAAGAAAAGCTGACCAGAAAGCAAATAAATGGATGAAGAGTAATAGAGGATTATCGAACCAAACTATATAGGAAAAAAAATCATGTAAGTTGATTCATATTATTCCTACCAAAAATAATAATTTGAATCATTACTTTGTTTATTAGTCACTTAATTTGTGACCTAATTTATGCACGTTTCAGTTAATTATTTGGACTACTATATAAAATATTATATATTATTATATACTAATTTAGACTGCTAAATTTTACTATACAAAATAAACCATGAAATTCTGCATAAACATAAATTAGTATCAGAGCATATAC